GGTGTCGACGCTGGGCAGCAGATGGACGACGAAGCAGAGCAGCAGGACGAACAACCCAGACGGCGGGGTCGTCGCCGTTCGGTGGTCCAAGCCAGGCGACGCCATGCACGACAGCTGCGACGCAGGGAGCAGCAACTCCGGGAGAGGGCGATGTTCCTGCAAGCACGCGAGGCCTTGGTGGAGAGGTTCCTCAAATGCATCAGAGACAAGAAAGCGGACGCCAGGCTCGCTTACGCGGCGCTTCCAAGCCTCGACGAGGCCCTCAAGACACTCAACAGGGGACTCAGCCTCGAGGTGGAGGAGCCCCAGGCTAAGAAGACAAGGCTGGCCAAAGCGGAGGAGGCAGCAGGGGAAGACAACACACCAGAGGCCAAAGTCTCCATCGTCAGCAGACGCCGGGACACAAGGCGGTCCAAGCAGGGGACGAAGCCGTGGTCAAGGAAGAGGCAGAGGAGGCCGAGGAGGCCGAGGAGGATCATCAGGCCAGGAAGGAGACAACCCGGACCGAGACCTGATTTGCCGAGTGAGCGGCAAGCAAGGGCATCGCGCAGCAAACTGCTGGCACAACAATGGAAATTCCAAAGGTGCGTTAAGAGATATCAGTAATATCATTTGTCATAATTGTGGCAAAAAGAGGCACATGGCCCGAAACTGCACGTCAAGCGGAGGAAATGGGCGAGGAGGCGGAGGCGGCGCCAGCTGCAGCAACGGCAGCGGAAGCAGCGGCTCCAACTTCCAGATGCCCAACGTCCCTCCGGACCTCTACAAGGCGACGCTACAATGGTTCATCAACCAGCAGAAGGGCAACAATGGAGAAGGCCAAGGCAGCAGCAGCAGCAACTATAGCACCTCGGTACCATTTGTGCCGAACAACCAGAGCCAGGGAAACGGCTAACCACTTCCATCGACACGGCGGCTATGGAGGTGGAGGAGAAGAGCACAAGTCCACCAGTGACCGAAGTAGAAGTCCCCGTCCAAGAGGAAGCCATGGGTCAGAGCAGCCCCAAGGGCGACGACGACGGTCACCGGGAAGACGTCACTTGTAATGCGTGTACAACTGTTACAGAGACCGCAAACGGGCTCACTCACGCGGGCTCTTGGCTCTGCAGCGAAGAGCGGTGAGCGTCGAGCCCGGCCCGGCCCGGCCCGTCACCTATGAGACCGGCCCGGCCCGCCACGGGCTCAGACGGGCTCGTCAGTTCCGCAGCCCGTCGAGGGCGAGAGGTGAGGAGAGGTATGCGGCGGGGTGTCGCCGGAGGCTGGATTTTGTCGATTTCCCGCGCATAATAGTGCTTCGGCTACCTTCGGCGCGCTTCGGCGACAGTCAGCCGATGTTGTAGCCCTGGCCAGCTGGCAGGCAGCGGGAGTAAGCCTGTCCGTTTGCGGACTCTGAACTGTTAGTACAGCGCCAACGATCTCATGTAAAATAAACAATAAAAATAAAGATTGTGTTATAGATACAGCTGCTGTTATTACTGTACTCGCTGGATCAAGGAATCTTCCCGTTGCAAAACGAAGATTACAGGGAGTCACTGCACACAAAGCAAACTTATATGGTCCAGACATGACAAAGTTCACAATGGGAGGCAAAGTTTTTAAGTTCCTAGCTTGTGAGGCAGATATAGAGGAAAACTTGTTAGGAATAGACTTCTTACATGGGTTTAACGGTATTGTTCGCATCAAAGAGCAAATCCTGGAAATGGGTCCAAATGATGACAGGGTACAAATTCCATTTAGTCTAAAAGAGTCGGCATGTGTGCAAAGACATATGCGACAGGAAAAGTTGCTTATAGTATTCGAACTGAAAAGAAAATAATCTTAAAACCATTTAATGAAGTAGAAATAAATACAAGTTTAAAAGTGGATTCAGAGGCTGATGAGTTAGTAGAGGAGGCTAACGACCCGTCAGACAGTGGATTGGCTCAGGGTCCGAGTTCAGGTGGGAAGTGCCACACCCAGAGCAGGGTGGTGCTGACGCTAAATCGATACCGAACAAAAATCAGGGTAATACCGTACTAACCTTAACAAACTCGACCAAAACTGCTTAAAAAGCGCAATTTCTCCGTTCCCTTGCTGATTGAATATCGAAAACTCAGTTCATTCTAGTAACTTGCCGTCCTGAAACCGCTGAGATTTGTTTCAGATGTTAAATCAGCAAGGTTTAGAAGTAACAGCAGAAAAATGACCGAGAATCAACTACAAATTTCGGAAACAGGTGTCATTGTAAAATGTGGTAATTGGCTGAGCGAATAGCGAAGCCTATTTGGCTGAGCGATTAGCGAAGCCTATTACTCCACTGATGATCAAAAAGTTTCGCGTCTGTGGTCAATATTATTCTGGGGTCATTTTGGGTTCGGGGCAGTTTTTATGTGGTCACTTGTCCGGATCCCGTTCACCCCCACACTCTTTCCACTAACCGACTTCTGCAATGTCAGTTTTTCATACTGCTTTTGGTGTAGCCTAGTCCAAGGCACCGACGTATTTCACTAACCGCAATGTGTATCACACCATCGTTACCCCCTGCCACCACTATCACCCGCGTGGAAAGATCTGCACTTCGCATTATACTTGAAAAATGTAGCTGGTCTCTTTTTAAAACAGTAGTACGAGCACATCGTGCTTGTTAACAAAGTGTTGATGGAGTGCAACCGAACAAGTAATTTTTCTTTGCAAACAAAGAAGAGAGTAACTGCATATTGCATGGTGCACTTTGACTATAGACGCTTGTAATTGGACTGCAAAGAAATTATGGTCATCCACAGTTGTACTGCAGTCTATCTGAAAATAACATATAAAGATTTGGGAAAGTGTTCAGTTAAACTGCAGTTTTGGGGTTAGTTTCGCGCATTATGTCTACAGATAGAAGTGTAGTTCGACCTACACATTGTTTGTGTTTCGGACTATTTATAAACTTGCTTCTAAAGAATAGTGTTCAGAAGTCAGTTCAAAACATTTTTTGCCCCGTTTGGGCTCTTCTTTCTCCTTACTCTTCGCTAATTTACCTTACAGACAGATATTACCTCATTGTTGTTACACTAGTTTTACCTTGGATGCTGGCGGGAGTTGAACCTTGGACCTTGGAGTTGGGAGCCTAGTACGCTGACCACTGAGCCACTGCGACGCGATAGCTCTGGGGCCACGGTAACCTGGTGTCATGCCATGGGTCCCGGCGCGCCGGCCTACTAGTCTAACTACAGTTTCATTATAGTTTCTTTATAATTTAACTGTTGGGGTTAGGGGTTCCTTAGGCTTGTCGGTATTTTTTCGTCAATAAACCTGTCTGTATAATCACGTTCCTGTCCCTGTTCGATGTCATAATTAACTGACCTTTGCTTCTAATTCAGTGACTCTTAACCGGGTAGCAGCCCACCTGCTGCTGAACCCCGCCAAGAGACACATTGACAGCTGGACGGAAATGCGGAAAGAACAGCGGTTGTCCCTCGGAAGCACGCGCCTAGGCTAGGAAACGTAAAACTCCATCGAACCGAGAATCGACAAAACATGACGAGGGAATACTGTAGGTAAAAATTAAAAATACACTCTGAGCATAGGCCTACGTTTACCCATGAAGTCGATTCATATTTCAAATACCACGTATAAATAGTCAGAATCTGTAAACCACATTTGCTGTCTCCACTTTGAAAACAACAACCGTTGATCTGTTACCTAACTCCGAAAATAACTGCTTTGATGAATCGCATTACAAATTAGACCCCAAAGTGTATTACTTTTATATTTTGGAATTATGTTTAAGCACAGTTCTCTACTCAAAAGTGATATTGATTCGTGAGACTAAAATATCTGCTCAAAGACTGTACCTGCAACTACAGTTCCATCTTGTATAGAGCACTGCAGCCAACATTGTAAATGTATAAAACCAGTGTGACTGCTGTCACTACATAAATAAAAGTACAGAACAATCTAGAGTTCTGAGATGCAGAATGTGTACAGTTAGTTTGCAGTTTCAGATAGTAAATCGCATCTGCAGTTCGATACCTACAGTTCAAACTGCAGTCATAATGCAGACCCTTCCACGCGGGCATTGTGGTGTTACGTTATTAGTAAAAGGTAAAATAGGAATAATCTTAAATACATTTTCTCTCTTTTTAGACGATCCAGTCTATACCAGCAGGTTTGGCACGCGGGGGAGCGGTGCGTTAGGGGTTCGTCCCAACTTCCCCCCGCCAGCCAACAATCACTACTGTGCGCTAGGCCACTCCCCATCCAGGCGCTCCCAGCCCCACAAACAATATACACTCAACGGTGGCCCAGGCAAGGGCGCGGGGCCGCCGAGGTCGCGACTCCAACGACGAGCACCTCTGGTAGCTCGGTCTAGCGCTCGTCCAAAGCGAGGGCGATCACCACGTTGCCACTCACTCGCCCAACAACTGCCCGGTCTCGCAAGGGAACTCATAAGGAATGTTGGTCCCCCAATTTTGTTCCGCCTGCTTGGGGGATTTGAGAGGGTCAGTGTAGCAAAGACGGACGACAACAACGTACAAGGCCGTGAATCTCAGAACAAAAAGTCGTAACGACTCTTGTTCTAGGAAGCAATAACGTATTTATTTAGTAAAAACAATTTTGTATTAGATTTTCTTTTATTCGGCTCGTCTATTTTGTTAACACGCAGTGTTAATGTTTTTAATAAAATCCACTTTGCAGCGCGACTCGAGGAAATAATTCGCATAAAAAAAAACACATTTTACAAAAAATGCTAAATAATATCCCGTGGATTTTCGGACAACCGTGCAAAGGCAAATTGAGCCAATCCGTTTGAAACTATTTTGTTAAATTTGTTACATTTTTTTTTTCGAATAAATACTAAGATATAATAATAAAATATCCGATCGACCGGATGTTTCCCGTGTGATTGGTTTAATTCATAACATGCCAAATCATTATTTTTTGCCCTCGGTGATCGATAAGTAATCAATTAAGGTCGTCAGTTTCCTGTTTTGTTTTAGGAGATAACCTGTGGCTTATCGGAAGGGGCTTCAGCCAGTCGGCGGACGATACGGCTGACAGTTATAAGACAGGAAACTTGCTTTGACCGATGATTCTCTTGGGCAGCTGGCTAATGTGTATCAGATCATTTTAATAATGCGTACCTATTTGTTCATCCTCACCCTGACATTTGTAGCAGCAACAAATGGCCAGCAAACCGCCAAGGTAAGAAAAAAGAAAGAGGAAGAAGCGAGTATAGTACTTATTGCACGAAAGGGCTGCTGAACGCTTTAAACCTTCCCAAGCACCATAAATGCACAAGCACGTGTGTGGGTAGTTCCTACCAAGTGACTTAATTAAACATTCTGATAAATCTGAAATACAGAAGAATGCAGTGGACGAGACAACGGATGTCAAGAGCATAGCTAGTTCGCTTTCTTCTTCCCCTCATTCTTCTTCATTCCAGCATTACCGGATTGCTGTTGGCTGTTTTAATCGGTTTTAATGGAGCGTGGCCGGAACTGAGAAGAACAGGCTAGGCCCGCTCTTTTGGCACACCAAGTTGCCAGATTCGGGCCTACAGCCCGTCCCCCGTCCTTTTTCAATATTTCTGAATAAGGTTCCATCCGAAAACGGGCCTTCGGCACGCTCTGGTGTGAGCTCCGTTGGAACCACCTTCCTGCCAGCTACCTTTTCTCCCCCTCAGTGATAAAATTAAACAACTGAGGCATTCTCTCAATACGTCAAACATTTTGAAAACAAAGAATTAGTCCTCACAACCAACAAATTAGCTAATTTTGGGATAGCTCCACTGTTATTTAAGGAATGTGACGTCACATTCGTTTCAATGTGAAACGTGTCACATTCGTTTAAATATCGTGTCACATTCATTTAAACGTGACCAAGGGTGAATTGATGCTCATATGGTGCCAGGCTTGGCTTGGCCGATTCAAGTTTAAACGAATATGACACAACATTGAAACGAACGTGACACGATTCACATTAAAACGAATGTGACGTCACATTCGTTGAATAAGTGTCATCCCAAAATTGCTGTAACAGCTAAAAGTTGGTTGCCACAGACAAGAGTTACCTGCCACAGCGAAGCTGCGGCTGATGGAGCTAATCCTAGTCGGTTCGTTCTGACATCTACTAGAGTATTCCGGCGGGAGATTTGGAGAAGACTCATGGGAAGAACAAAAGCATATTGCGCATGAGCAGGCTATGGTAGGGGTGGCTGGGCCGTGGTAGGAAGCGGCACCGGGCTGGCAGAGCCGCCCCCCACCATAGGCCGCGAACCGATTGGCAGCTACAGCGTCAGCTTCGCTGTGGCAGCTAACTCTTGTCTGTGGCATCTAACGCTTGCCCGTGACAACCAACTGTTAGCTGCGAGAGCGAATTTCTTGTCCATCCCAAAATTAGCTCATTTATTAGTTGTGACAACTTATTCTTTTTTTTCCCGCGATCGTATATGGTACAATTGGTATAGCATACGCGAGGGGTCAACAACTCGTATGATCAAAAGTACGACCCTATAATGACTCACAATCGCGTGTATAATCCATAATCTTCTATAATCATTATATAAAATAATTGTTCTATAATCTTGTAATCTTTTGTTTAAACAGTGACATTTTACTTTATTTCTTCACATGGTCAAAATATAACTCGTAAATGAAGAAAGAAAACTATTTGGAGAGCTGGAAACGATGAACGTGTCTGACCAAAAGTATGAGATTCGTTCATTCTCTAGACGGTTTCGGATCTGGTACCCGATTTTGGCCTCTGCCTTTAAAAATAAAGAGCATTCATTATGTACGATCCCACTCCAAATCTGGGCTATGTAGCTCTAACGGTTAAGGAGATATAAATTTCTAAATTTTATAGCCAAAAAGCGCGTATTTGAGAAGGAAGTGTGGGTAAAACTCTTTGAATCTTTGCAGTTAGGTCAAAATTGACTCCACCATTGGTAACGGAATTGAAAACTGATTCAAAACGACCTTTTCGTACCCCTTCCATCTTTCATCCGAAAAGAACGAGCCTGCCAGAGAACAAGCGTAACTGGTGGTTGCGCTTAGGACTGTAGCAGGGCCTGGCAACTCCGAAAGGGGATGGTGGTTACTCGAGTTCTCTGGCAGTGGTGGAGTTACGCTCTCATGAGGCACGACCATCAGGTGAGAGGGAGAGAAACCTCCCTTGAGAGCTTCCGAAATCAGTCAACTCATCGAGCGGTGTCCCCTAGGAGGCCATGGCGTCACCCATAGTACTCCCGGGCCCAGGGACCCCCCTGAGTACATAATCCCTAGGGCAGTTGTACTCCCCCTATAGGGTGGAGTACACCATCCCTAGGACAGTTGTACTCCCCCACCTCAAGGGGAGTGGAGTACATTGACCCTAGGGATTATGTACTCCAGGGGGAGTACACAATCCCTAGGGCAGTTGTACTCCCCTACCTCGACGGGGGTGGAGTACAACTGCCCTAGGGATAGTGTACTCCCCCCTAGAGTACATAATCCCTAGGGTCAATGTACTCCACCCCCCTTGAGGTGGGGGAGTAGAACTGTCCTTGGGATGGTGTACTCCACCCTATAGGGGGAGTACAACTGCCCTAGGGATTATGTACTCAGGGGGCCACCATCCCTGGGAGTACTATGTCACGGTTACACCGGCCATTCCACGGATGTCCTCGGGCCCTCGGGTGCCTACTGCCTTGCTCGACATGTCCCCCGGGTGCCAGGTGTTCTTCAGGGGCTCCAAAAAGGAACGTTGTCTAGGAACCATCATATAGACCATTTCAGGTGAGGTGATAAGAGGAAAAAAAGAATCAACAAACCGGAAAAGCACTGCCTTCTAATCGCCCCCACCCTCCGTCCCTCTTCACCCCTCGCCCAACTGTTTCCTGTTTTGGTGATTCTTTTCTTCTTCTCGACATCGCGATTGAAATGGTCTATTCTGGACCAGATGAAATCCATAACGCATGAGATCGGGATTATGTAAGGGCAGTTATGACAAAATCGGTGTAAAACGAAGTGAATCTGTCAAATATAGTTCTGGACACTTCTGGATGGCTTAGTATTGGGCTTAAAAAGACCCCTAAAATAATTCGTGATAAATCGAGGTAATATTGTGCGCCAAAAACACTTCCGGCTTCGTCGAAGCTGCTAACACAACTGAAGCGACGACAAAGTTGTTAGTTTTGACCCCTTCCCACATTTAAAAATGACATGAATTTAGATCGAATCCACGATTGAAACGTAATCTCTAGACCTTCAACCAAAGATAAGAGGTAGATGTACGCTTGACCACGTCTCGCGTAACAGGCTTCGCGATATCTCACGAAACACTGTTACGCTGCGACGCACCTGGCATACGACTACCTAGGCCTGCGGCGCTGAAACCCGAGTAGGGCTAAAGAAAGAGTTGTACAGACCTTCAGCCCTAAAAGTCACAAATTTTGCTCCTCGGCGTTTTATTTTGACGTGGTACCCCACCGGAGACCATCACTGACAAAAAACATTAAAATGTTTCCTTGTGGAAAACTCCATATGGCGCCTAAACGGCAAGAGATAATGCCAAACGAACAGAATTTTGGTTTAAAGGGGTCTACTTTGACGAGTCGGCACAAAATTATTTTAAAATTAGCAATATTTTCCAAGTGCTTTTACAAGAGCCCGTCCTCAGCCGATTTTTGAGCTAGAGGGCTCAAAATCAATTAAAATTTAAGCCTTCCAGCAATAGAAACACAAAAGTGTCACACAAAGTGTAATTTTTTGCAATCGGCCAATTATTGTGACGTTAACGAAAATCCAATGGTATAGGCTTTTCCACAGCCAGACAATAGGGTCTTCCAGGCTATCCTAAACGGGAGTAGAAAAAGAACAAACTCACTGACTTTTCTGTTTCAGTAATGGCTCTGATTGGACGAGCTGATCACGTGTTTCAGGGATGAGAAACTGTCAGATCATTTGTGAGCTCCCCTCCATATTTGAGAGGTTAAGGTGGGGTTCGGCCACCATGATCTCATACTGAACGGACAGAAACAGATGAATCAGTGAGTTTGGTGTTTTAGTTCCATTTTAGATAGCCTGGAACACCCTATTTATGCTAGGCCATCATATATAAACTACGTACCCTTCTGTTGCATTTGTATCGATTCCAGTTCGAATCCACAACAGTGGTTTTTCGCTTCCCTAACGATAGCTGACTGATGGAGATTTTTGTCCCTAGGAAATAGATAGTTTAGGGATAGAATGATTTTACTCGTTTCGCACCGATAGTCTGTATCTTCTTTTCTACTATTGTCCGGAGCTCAAACCGTCATTGTGTTATCGTGACTACAGACAAACAGACAGACGCGAAACTTGTCGGTCATCACTGTAGTAATAGTCTTCGCTAATCGCTCAGCCTATAAAGACCTGCATCGGATTTATGCGCACATACCAAATTCTCAATTTAAGCAAATTATTCTCGAAATTATTACACTCTCCCATCTCCTTAGCGATGATTGTCAATGTTCAACTCGGCTACGCGGGCCGCTCGGACCGCGCGCCCAGATAAAATATTGCTTGGACCGAGGGGGAAATCACTTGCGTACGAACTCGTACACCCAGGCCCGTACTAACTTGTACTAACGGCATAATAACGCGTACTAATGGTAGAAATCAAGCGTAATAGTGCCGTAATGACAACATTTTGCAAAAATTATGAAAAATTGCTCTAAAAGTAGGATGTACTAACGTGTACTAACGTACTAACTCGTACACTTTCATCTGGAGTGATTTCCCCCTCGCTTGGACCGCCCGTTTGATGCGTGGATCTCGCATACGTTAAGCTTGTTTTTCCGCCAAGCATCTTACGGCCAATCCAAGCATTTATGCGTGGGCCAAGCATACGAACCTTGATGCAAGCATTACACCGATGCTCAGGTCTCGCATTGATGCGTGAATCTCGAATAGGACGCCAGATTCAAACGAGACTATTTTAGAGACATTACGCAATGGTGCGGTTGCCAATCCTTGCATCAAATTATGCCTAAATCAGGCAAACTTTTCTCTGGGTGCGCCTGAATGAAACGGTGCTGTTTTCTTTAAGAAAGAGACGAGCTTTTTCATTTAAAAATTTAAAACTAATACATTTAAGCGACGGAGCGAGTGAAGGTCCAATAGGGTACTCCTCTAGAGCGCGGAGCGGAACTAAGAACAAAAACGGAAGGCGGAAAGGTTCCCAGGCGGCGGCGCGCTGCTAGGTGGAGAGCCAGCCGCCCGGGCCAACCGAGTCGTCCCCACGCCACCTGTACTGAGCGAGAGCCGAGCGGCTTGATCGGGGAGGCATGGGGAGTTCTAATGAGGAGCTGTCTGAAATAGATAAAGTTGCTCTAATGGCGTGTGTCTAACTTCTTACTCTTCGTAATTTAATTTTTCTTACATACGCTTTCATTTTTTTCAGTTGTTTCCTGAGCCAAACAATATTACGACTTCAGTAGACAGCTCATATAACATCAATAAGATAGTAGATATACTACTCGCATTGGTAAAGGTTGAGCTGAACTCAAAAGACCTAGATCGTTTAGACCTACCCGACTTCCAAGAAGACTTCAAGAAAAAGGTTGGCCCAATCAGAGTAAAAGGCTACTTCAAGGGCTGGAGTGGCTGGACTAAGTCTCTTACCTCCCTAAGACGAACAGGGGACGCCATTGTAAATGAAAATGGAGGGAAGATCTCTTTAGAAATTCCACTTGGTTTCGCCGACCTTCAATTTGGGTATGTAATTTAGTTAAAAGCAACTGCATCAATTTCAGATAATGTATACTTTCAAAATGGCAAGGATCAGCTTAAGTCCATTGCCAGATGCGTCTGAGCGCACATCTAGGAAGATACAGTTTTGAAGCTTCTGCAGTGCTTCGTATCGACAGTTGGACAAAATAGAAAACCATTTCATAGGGGAGAAACCCATCAGTATTGAAACTTGTATCTTGTAAGATGTGCTGCTTCAACAGGCCAAAAGTTGTGTTGCCATACAGTGTACAAACTAAGTACGACGGGAAAATAGAGTCTTTTGTCCATTAACTATTATATTTTTTGAAAAATTTCTGTCTGACCTGGAAGAAATTGTTGCCTGAGCGATAGCGAAGCCTGTAACTCCGTCTAGCCCGAAAGCCCCTTTACCGTCCGTCTGTTAAGTATGTCTGTCCATCTGCCCATCCGACACTGAATCCCAACGGTGTTCGCGTTAGTGACTTCAAATTCTAAGGGTATCTAAGAAATATCATCAATAGCCAGGGTTCTACTAAAGAAATGCATCAAAGCTTGAAAACTGGCCGATGTGACCTGAAAACAGGTAGCAAACGTTTAAAAAAATCAGAAAATTAATTGTATTAAATTTAATCTCTACCTCCGACGGGATAACCCGACAAAGTAGAACCATTTGTACAAAAAAATCGTTCATTTTGAGCCGCTTATGCACGACAGGGTGTATTTGACCAAAAATGGTTAAACATGGCACATTTTGGACGCAAAGTTTTCGGGAAAGGTCTCAAATCGAAGAAAGGAAAAAAGGAACTATCCCTCGAAAACAACCCATTTTTAGGCAATTTGCCATTCTGCTGGATATAAAGGGCAAAGGGCAAGACAACTATGCAGAATACACAAGTAGTTACAACATTCGAAATTTTCCAGAGCAGGATTGGGGCCAGAGGCCTGTTTCCTCATTCACCTTTTCGACGAGGCCTGTTAGACCGCCAAATTTGGCAACGCAGCGCGGTAGGGTGATCCATCTTAAAATCGGTATGCCAGAACGCAGTTAAAATGAAAATACGCGTCAAAAAAACACGGCAATTCTGCCCGTCAACTAGGCAACATCTGTACACACATGCAGACAGCAGGTTCATTACCTTGAAAAATTCAGCCCTCTTAGCTCTCGTCCTTCTTGGGAAACGGACAGACGGACAGACAGGGGCGATGGCATAAGCCCGCGTATATAGCTTTTAAGCAAAAGAGCGTGCTAAAAAGTGTTTTAAGACAGTCCCTTAATTTTTTCACGGACAACAAAGTAATGCTGCACCATCCACTAAGCTGGTAAAGAACTCAATTCAGGCCATTTCTGGCAGGCTTTCGGAGACCGGTTTTCCGCCGTTCAGAAAGTGTTAACTGTAATACACGATTTGGTGAACAAAACCCTTAATACTGTCACTTTATTTTCATTGTACCGTTGCGACCGTTGTCGTGGTTTAAGATAAATCTTTTTCGTTTAGGTACCAGTACCAGGCCAAGCTGCGTAGAGTCGCAAGTACTAGTGGACATGTGACAGCAACTGTTGGGTCGAACGCTGTTCGTCTGCAGGCAACCGCAGTTCTTTCCACTACAGAATGTTCAGCGTCTGTTGATTCGATCCAATTGACTGATCTGGGAAACATTAAAGTTAAAGCAACGGGCCTGGGGCCTCTCAATTTTCTCCTCGATAAGATAGCGACGTGGGTCACAAAAAGAATGCATTCCAAAATTGAAGACGCAGTGCAAAATGGTCTCAAAAAAGCAATTGACAAGGCCGGACTAAAGTTTAATTGCTTCTGAGTTTCTTTTCAAAATAGTGCGTTCTAGGGGGTTTCACTGTAAAAACAAATTCCATCGTAATTCTAAGAACACGAGCTGTGAACAAATTTACAAAACAAATTTGCTCTTAATTTTATGAACAAATGTCTTATGAAAATCAAGAACATGTTTTCCAAATTAAGAACGTGTTATGAAACGACAAATATGCATTTCTTTTCTCGCCTAACGCAAATCTGGTAAATATTCAGCTCTTCTTAATAAGGACGGATGTTCAAACCCAACTTTGTACACCTTTTAGATATTCAGCTTAACTTACCTAGGTAGATTTCCTTCGGATGCGCCTGTCTAAATTAGATGTTGTTCACCCAATATTATATTGAACGCTAAAATTCCATTTCCAGAGGTCAAATCTGCATGACTTGGAGTGTTTTGGATGCTAGTCTTAGAAGTAAGAGTGGGTGAGACTTTTCAAATCAATTTTGTAAAAACTGAGGAAACCTTTTAAATTTAATAAACTTGTATTAAAATTAAATGAGCCTTTAGTATAACTGCGGAATTTTATCAGAGTTCTCATATCTTGGTTTGCAAAACTCAGAAAACTTCGTAAATATCATCATCTGTTATTATGCTTAAGAACAAGTGAAAATGTTATTAAATTTAAGAGTTATTTTGCTCTTAATTTCCGATTTTTTTCACAGTGTCTATTCCACCTGATTCCGATATCAATTAACTGTTGCTATCATCAGCACTACTGGGGCGGATCATTCTTGTACTTCTGAACCAAGGCAAGTTACACTTGTCACTTGTCGTACTTCATCATGGGTTATTGGTTTAAGATTATTGGGGTCTCATTTGGCTTGTTTGTTGTATACAATTCTATCACAAGCTTTGAACGTTCTTGGCATTTCTTTTCCTGAAAGTCTCAAACAGGAAATGCTAAGTTATCACCTGGAACACATCAACCAAAGTTACTCATGTTGTTCTAAAATAATTAAGTTTTGGAGCTAAAAAATAACAAAAAAACGTTAACACTCCGTGTTAACAAATAGACGATCCGAATAAAAGAAAATTTAATACAAAATTATTGCTACTAATTAAATACGTTATTGCTTGCTAGAACTAGAGTAGTTACGACTCTTTGTTCTGAGATTCACGGAACAAAATCGGAGACTAACACTGCTTATGAGTTCCCTTGCGAGACCAGGCAGTTGTTGGACGATTGGTCGGCGACGTGGTGATCGCCCTCGCTTTGGACGAGCGCTAGACCGAGCAACCAGAGGTGCTCGTCGTTGGAGTCGAGGTCTCGTCGGCCCTGCGCCCTGGCCTGGGCCACCTTCAGGCAGGCCAGGCTTGGAGGAGTGTTGTGTGTATATTGTTTGTGGGGCTGGGAGCGCCTGGATGGGGCGTGGCCTAGCGCACAGTAGTGATTGTTGGCGGGCGAGGGGAAGTTGGGACGAAGCATAACGCACCGCTCCCCCGCGCGCCAAACCTGCTGGTATAGACTGGATCGTCTAAAAATACAAAAATAATAATCTTGAAAACGAAATAAACAGTGTACCACTTGATTTGAAATTAAAATATGGTTGGTTCAATTAACATTCAACCATGGTTTCTAATGTGATCCACTTATCGACACCAAAGCCGCTGAAAAAATATGTGTGAGTCTTGCTCTTACCAAAGATTTAATAGACGACATAAAATTGCATTTCTGTTGTTAAAATGGTTCAAAATTCTTTTTAGATATATTCAGTAGTTGGTTTGTAATGTATCCCTACACATGAAAGAGTTTTCATGACCCAATTTACCTTAAATAAATATCTCAGCTGACTACCGTCATTTAACTTCGGAAAACCTATAAGTTTAGGCTGTTGAGGCAAAAAATCCTATGTCAGACACTACACAAGATTTAGGTTGTGAAAAGAAACATGATTTCATATCAAATAGCATGAGATGATTGATTTCTATCTATCTCTACACATGAAAACGTTTCGACACTCCGAAATCGACATAACCGACATAAAATTACATTTCTGTTTTTTGAAATTATTCAAAATTATTGTCAGATACATTTCATCACTTGTTTGCAGTGTGTGTTTACTCTCAAAGCATTTTTCTTGCTCTAAATAATATTCAAACTTTAACCTTGGCTGTCGCTGTCATCGGGGGACCTGGAGTGTGGGTCTGAACGAACAAGCAAGCATGCTAACTACAAGACCAGTACTGATTTACAATATTACAATATTAAAAGCAGCTTGAATCCATATCAATTATCATGATATGGTTGATTTCTACCCGTCTCTACTCTACAAAAAGTCTACAATGTATATTTAAGGGTTAAACAAAATCTCTACTTCCACGTGGCAAATAATTGCGAAAAAGGTCATGAATTGATCAGATTGACTGAGAAGTCCTTTCCAACAAACTATTCAGGAATTGCATTGCGAAATCAAGTTAAAATTCATATTCGGGTAATGTGAATAATTGATATTAGAGTGATATCACGAAAGAAAGAGAAACAAAGTATAAAATGCACTGGAAATCCAAGTGTACGAGAAGTCCTTTCCAACAAACTATTCAGGAATTGCATTGCGAAATCAAGTTAAAATTCATATTCGGGTAATGTGAATAATTGATACTAGAGTGATATCACGAAAGAAAGAGAAACAAAGTATAAAATGCACTGGAAATCCAAGTGTACGAATGTCGCTCACCTGCAGGTGAGCGAAGAACATTCGCTCACTTGCAGGTGAGCGAATAGCATTCGCTCACTTGCAAGTGAGCGAAGAACTATTCGCACACCTACAAGTGAGCGAGCAACTATTCGCTCACTTGGAAGTGAGCAAATAAGAATTCGCTCACCTGCAGGTGAGCGACATTCGTACACTTGGATTTCCAGTGTGATTTGAATTTTTTTAATTAAAAAAAACAGGAATCAGTAAAGGCCCATTGGGACAATCACAACGAAGCTCGGGACAGCATACCACATACACAGCGCATTAGGGGCACAGCACATTAGGTCTTCGGCGGGAAATCGTAAAAACATTACTTCTTGGAGTCCTGAAACAAAACAAACAGAATTAGTTTCACGTACACACACACACACACACACACACTACCACCCACGAGTATAGAGACTTCCTGACTTCTTGCTCTCCATCGCCTTGTTGCGCTACTCTTGTAGTGCCTTTCGCTCCGCGCGCCGCTGCAGGGCTTTGGCATTGCCGCCGAGCGAGACTGCAACAAAAAGAGACAAATGAGCTCAGAATTCTAAAGGAGTGTCATGGTTAGGAGAGGGTCTTTGAACTTACAGGGTTGGAAGGGCGTGCCTCCGGCACCTGGCGCACGGGTGGCTCCAGAACGAGGTCTGCGATGGCAGCCGCTCGTTCGTTGCTCATGGGTCAACTTGACCCTTTCTCCCTTCCCCTGTCCCTTCCCTCTACCGCCTCGATGGTGGTGTTGCTGAGGGACGACAAAACTTCCCTAACGGTCGCGGGCAGGCTGCAACAAGAGGAAAAGGGGCTAATAAGTTCATATAATCTTAAAGAAGTATCACGATCAGAAAACATTTTGAACAACTTACAATTCTGGGAGGCCTCGCCTGGGGCTCCACTGTCACAAGACTCCCGCCACTTTAAAGCCGCACCTTCCTCGCCGCGATGACTGAATCGACCTGGGCCACCTGATAAAATAAGAACAATCCACCGTTAGTACAAGTGAAATGCGACCTGGAGCGCAGATGTGGGCGTCCTCTCGACAGGCACCACTCTCCCTGCTCCGCTGTCCTCCACTGAGCTGCGCGCTGCCCCCGCGTCACCTCGATGTGCGACGTGCGACAGCTCTCCGGACGAGGCCAACGGTAAACTTCGACGCGCTACCCTCGCTGCACCGACATTAGCCTGGCCCCCGAAAATTTCGAAAACTCCATCGGTGGGTTTTCTGAAAAGCGATACGATGCTGATTACGTTGGTCTTTGTCCGGGCGCTCTACGATGTCGGGAACCCACCGCGCATCCGCGTTAAAGATTTGGGCCCACGTGTGGTCCGAGCGGGGCGGCGGCGGCTCGCGGACGGCTGTAGCGGTGGCGGCGCGCGGCACAGGTGAGTCATATTCACATCAAATGTAACCCAGGGGGCCCTCTTTGGAACACCACCTGTCCGGTGTCCGTGCGCCGTGTCGTTCGACCTGGCGAGAGAGTTAAAGCCTCCCGGAGTAGTTAGGCCCTACGGGGACCAACGCACATATTTTTGAGGTGCGTGCAGCGCAGAAGTCTTCCTTAGCGTCCTATACATCGGCCCAAATCGTTAAAGTTATCTAGCCTCACCGGCAATACACCGAAAAACAGGAAGTTTTGGCTCCTCGCTAGCGAGCGGCGCCCGGATACTGTTTGAAATGAGCGCGCTAGAGCGGGGTGGGGGAACCTTCCCCACTAGCCACGCTCATTTACGCCCTTTCCACAACGATCTACGGCAGGTTTATTTCGTTTATAGCAAAAGGTCAAGTGATGATTTAATTGTCATCCGATACCTGCCGTACTTTTTGCTGGAAAAGGCTCACACGAGCGTGGCCGGCGGGGACGGTCCCCCCACCCTGCTCTAGCGCGCTCATTTCAAACAGTATCCGGGTGCCGGCGGCGGTCGGCATCGGCTCCGAAACCCAGCTCGTTTCCGTCCCGCTTGCTCTGTCACCCGTCCCGTCCGCTCTCGGTCCGGCTTGCTCAGTCCCACTCGCCGAGACTCGATCGTGTCAACGGGTCCCGTCTGCTGGCCAGGCGTAGCGTGGCGTGGCGCTGGACCGACTTTGCCTACGCGCCACGCCACGCCCTCAGATGACCGGCAGGCGGGGCTCGGCCACTCAAACGGGTCCCGTTCGCTCGGCTGCATTCGGCGAGGTTCGGCACATCGCCATCGCTACCTCGGGTTTCTCGCTCTGTCTCTCTCGCACACCTACTGCGCACGGCGCGCGCTCAGAGTGGGACCCGTTCGGGAGCGGATGCCGACCTCTGGTGCCGCCCGGGCCTGCCCTGGCCGGGGAGGGAGACGGGGGAGGGGGGTCTACATACCAGGCGCTCAGAGAAGCTTTAACCTAGACATTTTCTGAATAATTTAAACACAGCATATTATCTTAATAACAGTGTAAAAATAGCACATTGTCCACAGTTTGTGGTGCAAGGCGGTTCCGCCGCGCCTGCATGACAAAGCCAGCCTTGCTGAATACTCGCTCGCTCCCCGCACTTGTAGCTGGCTGTCCCATCAATTGATGTGCCAATTTGGCGAGGTTCCGGAACCTTCCTGTCACTGGATCCATCTGTATAAACACAAACGTCAAATTAGACAACCGATACTTAGTTAAATCTAATTTCTAATTATAGGGGGGAAATTTATTAGTTACCTCTGCACGCCAAAAGGTATATATATATCTTCAACATCAATCTCAGAATTGGCAAATTTAATGTATTGGTCTATATCGTCATCTGCGGCGAAGACGGAGGCCTTGAACTTTTTGTAGAAGTCAGCTACTCAGTGACGCTTGGCGGTGGGCAGGGCAGGAGCAGCTTGCGGCTCCGCCACTGGTGGTGCAGGCGGGGGTTGTCAGCTGCTCCACCTTCCCCCTCCCCTCACCGTCACGCTCACCCTTCAAAAGGGCTCGGACGTGGTCGATTACCTGCAAAATTAAAATTAGAGTTCAGTTACTTTGTCATACTACAAATAATAAGATCGGTACTTGTCCTTACGTAACCATACCATTTCGCTCGTCCCTAACTCAAAGCACGCACGGCGCAGCGCCTCTAGAGAAACCAAGTATCGTTGCGCGGCGCTCGAGAAACCAAGTATCGTTGCACGACTCTAGTGAAACCATGTATCTCCATTTTTGGGTGATTTTTGAAACCTATTACATTCGATAGAGAAAATTTCCCTCTATTCAAATAGGGTAAGATGCCCACCCCTTTTTCTTGTAATGTAGACTACGATGTGAAGTAGTTTGTCTTATTATGCCTAAGTAGGGACTTTACTAGAACACTACTTCAAGGCCAAGATTGTAAAGTGACCAGATTGGCTGGAAATCGAGAAAAGTGGCCATCAATGGACAGTGGCCACATTAGGGCACCTTACCCTATATAGTTCCTATAAAATCGTCAAAAATGCAGATGTACACAAGTGGCAGTTCTATGAGCCGCAAGTTAGTCTTAACAGGATTCCTGTGCTTTTTAAAGGGATCACAACACTTGAGCTGTCGCAAATCATAATATTCCAAGTATTCTTTAGCGTGTCTCTCTGGAACACCTTGTCCACACGCAACATACCAGATTTGCGTCAGATAAGTTCACTATTATCTTCCGTGATATCTTGTCGTAATATATCACCCGAACACAAAATATGGCCGCAGGCTTTTATAAGTGAGCCCATTGTTAAGTCTCAATGAACTACAAGTGAGAAATGCAGTCGGATGCGTCCGAGTGGCTCGGGGTGGTCGGACAACCATAACCTTACTCGCTACGATACAAAACACAACACCGAACGAGCCGGGCAGAAGGGGGTGGGTCTCCTCGTTTGAAGGATATGTTGCCTGCTCACCCCGGCGGGAGGGGGCCCTTTCACTTGTCAAGTGATTTATAGAACTGAGCGTGTACGCGCTCATGTCCGCCAGTTTATCCACGAACGAAGTTTTGGCACCTGGTGGCAATGACTTGAAAGTGGGGAGAATATTTTGTTTTCCTTTTACAATCGGGCACGCAAACTTGACATGGTTCACTAGCGAGCTGTTTCCATTTTTTTTTGCTGCTATACGACAAAAACTTCTCGCACATCACGCATTGCACGGCTCCCACAA